GTCGAGCGAGAAATCTCGACTCGAATGCAATACTAATACAATAAGGAAATATATACAAAAAACGAGGCTTCAACAACTAAAAATAAAGAAACTGTGCAATTGTTAATTAAGCTTTGTTTAAACAATGTTAAATTAATAAATAGTGATTATTAATAATATTAATAATAATATACGCGATTATTATATTCTATCTATATCATATCAAATCAATATTTGAGGTTAAATTGAAATTCCCGTAAACGTATTGCATGTACAAGGCACACAAGTTTTATTTGAAAATTTGTAGGTTAAGTGAAATCATGGACAGGAAAAATTATTTCAATTATTTCATTTTTAATATATCTTTATATCACAATAAATTAAAACATAAAAACGATGAAAACGTTGCAAAAATTTACCTTGACGACAGGTGAGGAAAGTAGGATAGTAACAATCATAGCAATATTAAATGGATTAATGAGTTGTATTTTTGACCGTATTAATATATAAATTTTGATGATGTAAAGGCCTAATTACGGTTTGTAGGAGTTAATTTCTTGTGAAAAGAACTTTTCTTTCTTTTTCTCTCAACTAGTTTCGAACCTTTATTAGTTCCTCATCAGGAGATTATTCGTAAAGTACATATTATCCAAATACAGATAGATAGACGTAGAGACATCTTAGAGAGGATCAGTTTTTTATTTTATTTAAACAAAATCTAGAGAGAAGGAAAATGTGTTTTTAGGTTATGCTATTTTATAAATATGAAAATTAAACCGACAGATTGGCTCAGTCGGATAGATGCCTGGCGTTGGCGGTCGTTTAAGGACCAAGGGTATAAGTATCCTTGGTTCGCGCCCACTTGGCTTGGTATTTTTCCGTCACGTGAGACAATCCGAGCAGGAGGTTTGACGTCGAGGTATAATGATGTGCACCGTCGATTATTGTCCGGTACACACCATTAGAACTCGACTGTCGATAAACCGGTTGTACTCAGGAGAGGTTTTCTACAGTTTCCCTCTTCTCTGGCGAGAAAACCCATTGACGGGTGGTCCAGGCGCAATGCGAGTACTCCTAATAAAAGTCGGCTGTAGACGCAAATTAGGTTAATATATAGAAAATTTATGTAGAATGGTTATGCTTAATCCAAAAAAAGTATTTCTCGGGGACTCTTGTCGAAGTGCGTAAGGCCAATAGGGCAGGAGTATAAACAATAAAAAAAAAAGAAAATATGAAAATTAAAGATAAAAGTAAATGAAAAGACAAAAACTTACCATTTTTTAATATAGTAATAAGAATAGATTTCTTTCTTTAAAAGAAAAATAGAAAATCTCCATATTATTTTTTTATATTTAATTTATTTTGTAAATTTTACGGAAGCACATGTTTTCCAAGAGAAATGTTTCCATAAAAGTGTTTTGATAGAGAGGATGGGTTGCTTAGCAAAGTACAGGTAATATCGGTAAGGTAGAGAATTATATTATTCTAGAATTTGAAATATAAAAGGATTAAAAAGTTTTATCAAAAAATGTTATGGTTTAAAAGAAGTTATTAAATTATAATATACTTTATCCAGGTTATCAATATCTGTTCTATAATTAATACTATTAGTATTGTTTTTTATATAGAACATTTCTAAATTTTTTCTTTTCCAATTATTGTTTTCGATATGTAAAATATTTACATTATTGAAATCAAATAAATGATTATTGTTAAAAGCGTGATTTGTTAAGGCATTTATATTTTGATTGTGATTGATATATCGTTCATGCTCTTTAATTCTTGTTTTAAGATGTCTTAGTGTTTCTCCGATATAGCAGCTATCACAATTTTTGCATTGAATTTTATATACACATCCAACTCTCTGTAGTTTTTCTATTGTGTCTTTAAATTTTGGATAAATGGAGTTTTTCAGATTGTTAGAATTTGTAAAAACTAATTTAAAATTTGAGTGTTTGAAAATATATTTAGCAAAATTTCATCAAAATTTTGGATAAATGGTATAGTAATAATCTTTTCAATTGGAAAATCATTCCTATTATTTTTGGTAAGATTTTGGTTGTTAATAATAATGTGATACCTCTGTGAAATCTTTCTATTTAACAGATCGATGGGATATCCGTTGAGAAGTAATGTTTTTTTAACAATATCAAGATTTTCTAGATGGAATTGTTGATCTGAGAGTTTTATAGCTCTATCAACGAGAGTGTAAATAATTTCAATTTTATAACATAAAGGTTGATGTGAGTAAAAATTCATATATCTACCTGTCCAAATAGGTTTTCGATACCAGTTAGTTATAATAATATTATTACTGTCGGTTGAAAGAGAAAGAAACAAAAAAATTAATATTATTATTATTATTTGACAGCTCCAAGGTGAATTTTAAATTTTTATCAATTGAGTTAAATCTGTGTAATATATCGTGAACTTTATTTTTAGGTGCACAGATTAATATATCGTCAATATATCGAAAGTAAAAAAGAATTCTATAATTAATTTTATTTAAAATTTTATTTTCAATACCCTCCATGACAATATTGGCAGCACTAGAGGATATTGGGGAGCCCATTGGCAAACCAAAAATTTGTTTATACGTCTACGTCTATCTATCTATCTGTATTTGGATGATATGTACTTTACGAATTACCTCCTGATGAGGAACTAATAAAGGTTCGAAACTAGTTGAGAGAAAAAGAAAGAAAAGTTCTTTTCACAAGAAATTAACACCTACAAACCGTAATTAGGCCTTTACATCATCAAAAAATTAAATGGATGTTCGTGATACTTCGGGTAGCATCGGCCTTCTTCAATTTGATTTTATGCAGTCAGCACAGTAAAAATTTGTAAGCAGCACAGTCTATTTTATTAACCTGCGCATGACTATTTCATGGTACGGTTAATATATTTTGCTTTGGACAAGGTGACAAGGACAGTAATTTTTATTGGAAATTTCTCTCCGTGTATGGTATGATTTTATTTTAATGAAATATTTCAATGTTGTTGCTTTGATTTATATACAGTAAAACCGCTCGGTATGCAACTCGATTTTTTAAATTTTATTACAGTGAATAATTCTTGAAAAATTGTTGTATAATTTAATTTTGTAATATTTTTACAATACTCTAGAACTAAGTAAAAATAAAATTCTTGTTGGACATTTTTAAATGCAAAAAAAAATTTAAATAGATTTGCATTCCGAGAGGTTTGACTGTATATCTGTAATTAAATATTTAATATATGTGGACGTCCACATGAAAAGGGCCCATATTGTCGGTTCCAGTTTTCGAGATAATCGCAATTTAGTAATTTTGGAGCAAAATCTTAATTTTTTTTTTATTTTTTATTATCAATCTACATGTTTTGACAAGTCGAATCATGCGGTTTTCATTAATTTATCGATAATTTAACTGTTTGATTTCATTGGTTCTTTAGAAAAATAAAAAGGGCCCATTTCGTCGGTCATTTGCAAAAGTAATCCGAATTTTAAAAATGGAGGTGTAGAAAAATTTAAAACCTCTTGATTTTTTATCTCTAAGGTGTCCTGGACTGTAAACAATTCTTATCTGAATAACTTCCGAGAAGAACCAGAGATATTGAAGTTAAAATCTTTTTTTTGTAATTTTCGAAATGGAAATTTGGATATTGCGTCAATTTTTTCATAATAAAGACTGTCAAAAAATTTTTAATAAGTGTAATATCTATTCTTTTTTTTCAAATGACACAATAAAATTGTACCTAATCATTAATCTTGTAAAAAAATGGTTTTTTAATAGAAAAATTCTCTTTTTTAGAAAAGGGCCCACATTGTCGATTATTAGTACTTAAGTACGAAATTTTTGAAAATTAAGAGGGGGGATGGTTTTAAAAATTTAAAACCTGTTGGTTTTATATCTTCAAGGTGCCCTGAACTAGAAACAATTTTATCTGAATAACTTCCAAGAAGAACCAGAGATACAACAATTAGTTGATATCGCAATCTTTAATTCCGTTTTTCTCGAAATGAGGTTTGTGGCGTTTAAACTTTGAAATTTCGTAACTCAGCGAATTTTTAACCAAAAAAGTTGTAAGTCCACTCAAAATTTTCCAAATTTTGCCAGGAATACGCCCATATAGATAACTCCAATAGTGCTAAAATGGGCCCTTTTCATGTGGACGTCCACATATGTAGAAATGTAAATGGTAATAGTATTAATTAATTGTGGTTTCAATTATTTTATGTTACAATTGTCAGTAATTTCAATATGTGGAACTTACAATCAATCATTCGATTGTTATTTTAATTGAAAGCTACAAAATATATGATGACTTTAATAAACATATTACATAACCATGACTCAATTAAAGTTAAAATAAAAAACATGTAAAAACTTAAACAATACCGAATGAGATAATAGGAAATGAATATACTATTAAGAGATCAGAATAATTGGAATTTTTGACATGAGAGTATAATTATAGATAAAAAATAGACAAAGTACATTTTGTACATTTATTTCTGTTTTCAATTTTTTCTTCATCCTTATCTGATAGTAATAATAAAAACATCTTTTTCAGCAGTGCAATTGAACCGGTTTTTCATTCCGAAAATTGCGAATTTAATTAGGTTGCGGCATTTCAAGTTCCCAAGGTATTTTGCAGTAATGAAGGAAATGTGTTTTGCAGAACACTAATTGAACTTCTTAATTCATTTTATTTTTCCCTTGACGGAACTATTGTTTTTTTTTTTTTGCCTTATATACAAAGATGTTGAAAAAAAGTGATTATGCGTATACGGGTGTACGTGCAGTAATGACGGTGGAATCGCATGTTTCTATCTTAAGAGATTTTTTATGACGCAAGAAGATCGAGAAAGACGTCAAGCTACTTTGAAATTTTTTTTGCACTTTCTTTCACATATAGCTATATGTATATATGTATATATGCATCTCGAGAAGATTTTAAAAGAAACGAAAAGCTCGCTACTCCTCCACTGCTTTTTAAACTGTGACAAATGAACCTGGCGTAGCCAGCCAACTTACCGTTAGGCGGGAACTCGTAGAAGAACGCGGATCTCGGGCTCAGACAACTGGAACAGAGAAAATTACGGTTAAAATATGCTAACAATTAAAGCACCGCTACTGCTTGGTTGGCTCCCTAGTCGCTGGGAGCCAACGATCTCTATTTCTCCTTCTCTTTCATTTCTCTTTTTCCTCCTCAAGTATTTACTCTTTTTTTAGAATTTCTCTCTCTCTCTCTCTCTCCTTTTACCACTACAAGTCAGAACTTCCGGTCTTGGCACTGTGTTCAAAACTACGATTTCCAGCAGAATACTGTTGCAAAGAGAAAAAACACGAGTCTATTAAACTTATTAACCGGGACGTAGCTGCTTTAATTTGAGATAAATGTATGTACTGCCCTGAGTCAAATGCCACCTGTTTTTCTCCACACTATATTCACGAAAAAAATTAGGGATTTATAACTTTCACTTTTTAAAATTCATGTATCTCTCATTAAGGAGATTTTTTGCTTCTAAATCTGATTTTTGTCCGAGGAGAAAATTAATTTCTTTCTTCATCAAATAAATCGCAATTATTAAATTACAAACTCTTCATTTAATTTTAAAACGAGAAAAATTACAATTAATTATAAATAAATTAAGTAATTATGTTTTTTAAAGATCTAGGTATAATGCAGTCCTTGAACTCATTATTTTTAGTTTCTATTTAACGACTTTTGTTTAATAACATTTATTCAGTCGATTTTCATTTTTCTAATTTTTCTTTAATTTACTTTAAATTAACTCGATATTTTCCTTAAACTTATTTATTTAATAAAATAATTGATTTAATGACATCTTTATAAATTATCGAATTTTTATTTAAACGAAATTATATATCCCAACAACATCGTTTTCGATGCAAAAAGTTTCGCCATGTAAAAATTTTTGTAAATGTCTAAACAATTTGTGAAATGAAATTTAATGATTTACATAAGCAACTAATGAAATCCAATTTTATGACTGAATAAAAAATCTCTATTTAATGTAATTTTAAAATTTTGGCGTTAATGGTTTTTTCTAACTTATAATTGATAAAATATTGACGCGAAGGTTTTAAAATTGATTAAAATAGACATTTTTTATATTTGTCACACTTTAAAATATAATGTGAAATATTTAATCCATTATGAAATGTTATCCTTATTGATAAAATCAGACTTTTGTCTGTACATTGCATAGAATTCAAAATTTCTATTATATTCCTTCTTTTTACACTCTAAGGAATGCGAAAATACTATTAAGAAAATTATGTGTGTATGTGTATGTGTGTATGTATGTCCGCAAATTTTTGACCGCGACATTTTTAGTTTTTTAATATAGGGTGATGTGGGGTAATGTGCAACGTTTTTTTTCGTTGGATGAAAAACATGTCAAATAATTAAATTTTTAAATATTTCAAAATTAAATGACTAAGAGGCATTATAATAGAACACTGCAAGTTTCTTGAAAATTCCCAAATATTTAATTATAATATTAAGCAAATTATTTAATATTTAATTTTTATTTAATTTTAATATATTTAATATTTATTTAAAATAATATAATGGCAACAAAGTTATAATAAAAAATGTCATTAATTTCTCCAATCCACAGAATTGTAGTTGTGTACTATTATCCGTGATCAGTGGATAATAGTAAAAAATTGTAAATGTCGTGGCAGACATTAATTATTGATATTATGATCTAAAATACTATTGTGAAGCACCTGTTTAAGGGACTGATACTTATACTCTCCGCGAGATAAGTCGTGCGCGAGAGAGGTATTTCTCGCCATCTATCACGGAGTTAGAGAATTATAATCTTGGTTATTATTTAAATTTTCACAGTTTTTATTATCCACTAAGTTATCTTCTTCATCAGATGATTCTTCAGAATTCGAATTTTCGTAGCCTTGGTCAATTTCTTCGTGTTTCTTCAATTTTGATTTTTCATTAATATACTCAGGATCTGACTCAATTTCGTCAGGAATAATTTCATTGTAAAATTTTTCTTTTTTATTATTATTTGTATTACATACCTTTTTCGGTCTTCCCCTTCTCTTCTTGGAAAAGGAGGTATTCAAACGTGTGCTATATTTCTTCGGTCTACCTTATTTCTTTGTTTTGTGTGCTTTTATTTCTTCATTTTTCTTTTCTTGTATTTTCTTTTCCTGATTATCATTTTCTTGTATTTTCCTTTGATTTCTTGTTATGACATTACAAGTTTCTTTACTTGTATAATAATTTCTTTCAATAGATGGGAGACTTTTTCTTATCTCCAAATTCATGTAGGATTCATTGTCCTTAAATATTTTTTCAATAGTTGGGAGACTTTTCTTATCTCCAAATTCATGTAGCATTCATTAATTATTTTTTCAATATATGGGAGACTTTTTCTTATCTCCAAATTCATGTAGGATTCATTGTCCTTAAATATTTTTTCAATAGTTGGGAGACTTTTCTTATCTCCAAATTCGTGTAGCATTCATTAATTATTTTTTCAATATATGGGAGACTTTTTCGTATCTCCAAATTCATATAGGTCATTGTCCTTAAATATTTTTTCAATATCATGGAGGTTTCTTATTATCTCCGAATTCAAGTAGTATTTAGTTTCATTTGCTAAACAGTGTATATATTTTTCAATTTTTTCTTGCACACATTTCATTATATTTTCTTGATTTTCCTGAGTTTCTTCTATTTTTTCTTCTTTTATTCCTTGTACTTTTGTAAAAGATTTGACTTTGAAATCTATTAAACATTGGTTTTTGATTGTTGAATCGATTCTGATTTTGATTTGAAAAATTTTGTCGTGGCCCTGGATAAAAAGAGTTTTTTCGTCTTGGTGCTATCAATTTATTAAGTTGAAAACAATTTACTGCAAAATGACCCTTTTTTCCACAAACTAAACAAGTTATTATGTTATCTTGAGCGATATTAATTTTTGTTGTTTTAGCAAAGTCTTTATTATTTTTAGGATGAGAATTATAATCAGTATTTTGCTCACTTTTTCGTAACTCACGGTAAGATAATAATTTTCTTTCTATTTCTACTGCTTTATTTACTATCTCTTGAAATGTATCTGCTGTTCCAATTCGTATTTCAATTTCTGGTCCAAGTCCTCGTGAAAAACAATCAACAGTTGTTTTATCTAAACTTGCTTTAAATGGTTCATCTACTCTATTTTCATTGCTAATCCTATGCGCGTCTAATATTCTTTCTGCTGCTTCTGCGATTCTTGACCCATAAGAAATTACATTTTTGTGTTCCCACATATATATTGCTCCTAGTTCTCCTTGTAACTGATATACAGACTTTGCTGGCGCGTAAATTTGTTTTAATCTTTCTGTTAACTGTTCTACTGTATTAAAATTATTTCCTATTATAATTCTTCTTGCTTCACCCGAAGACACTTGCTGATTATTTGGAAGAGCCATGTTTTCCTCAAAATTGTTACTATCTCTAGTGTTATCAAGAAAATTATTTTCAGAGTTATCGTCTGTTTCAATTTCGCCAGTTAAAGACTTCTTTAAGCTTTTATTTGAATTCTGATCCACTAAGGTTTTTTTCAGTTATGGTATTTTCACTATCGTTACTGTCACTGTCGAATGAATTATCGTCAGTATCAAAAAGTTGAGACTTAATATACCCTGAGTCAAACTGTTCCTGTAATTCTAATGGATTAGGGTTTTCTTTAGAATATCTGGGTGTACTTGTTGATGGTTTTATTTTATAATTAGGAATTCCCGAATTCAATGCTAATTCTGGATTATTCTTTATTTGTAAACGAGTGAAATGTGAGGAATCGGTAGTATTTTTATTCGAAGAAGACATTAAAAACTAGCATAGTGCCCCAGCTGGAAGGGTTTCCGGAAAGTTTCCGGAAAACTTCCGGAAACTTTCCGGAAGCGGCTTCCGGAAGTTTTCCAGAAATTTTCCGGAATTTTTTTTTGTTCAGAAATTATTCGGAAATCTTCCGGAAATTTATTTTTTTTGTATGGAAATCTTCCGGAAAATTTCCGGAAATTTATTTTTTTTGTACGGAAATCTTCCGGAAAATTTCCGGAAATTTATTTTTTTTTACGGAAATCATCCGGAAAATTTCCGGAAAATTATTTTTTTTACGGAAATCTTCCGGAAAATTTCCGGAAATTTATTTTTTTGTACGGAAATCTTCCGGAAATTTATTTTTTTTACGGAAATCATCCGGAAATCTTCCGGAAAATTATTTTTTTTACGGAAATCTTCCGGAAAATTTCCGGAAATTTATTTTTTTACGGAAATCATCCAGAATCTTTCTGGAAATTAATTTTATTTTACGGAAAACATCGGGAATTTTTCCGGAAATCTATTTTTCAAGGAAATCAGTCGGATTTCAGTCACACTTGTAGTTAATATTATTTGATATTCATGAATTTTATTATATTGCGAAAAATGAAACTCAAGTGTTAAAATTTTGTAAAGTAATTAAACTCATTGTGGAAATTGATTCTTATAGGCAGCTATTAAGATATAAATCATCTTTTCTAAAGGTAAGTAAAACTTTTACTATTGATACCCATTACAAAAAATTCATATAAATATTTCACCGATTTTAAAAATAATTTTTTAATATTCTGGAATATGACCCAATTTTTAAAAATTGGATTTTTTCCGAGCATGGTAAAAATATGACGAACTACGGAAATATTTTTTTTTTTTTTTTTGGAGGTGGACCTCTGTAGCTCAGTGGAAGAGCAATCAACCGGCAATTGATAGGTCCTGGGTTTCGAGCCCCAGCAGAGTTAGTCTCACATTTTTCATGGCTTTAAATTTATTTTTCAATTTATTTTTTATTTTTAAGTAATTATTTCAAGATAATTTAACCTTGAAAATTAATTTTTTTTAAATATGGATAATTTTAACTTTAAATGTTACTTTTGTAAAGTATCAACAAAGTTTTAAAGATTGTGATTGGGAATGCGTACGCAATATTTCAGGATTTGTAGTTTGAGAACTTGTCTTAGAAATTCCTAATTTTAATTCTGAGCCTTTTTTCCACTGGCAGAC